TAATAATTTCAAATAATCACCACAGGGTCCCAAATTATCTGTTCGCCACATCTCTTCAAAAGTTGAATTTTGCAAAGCTAGACACCCTGAAAAGGCACTTACTTTATACTAAAAGGCATCTTCAGAGTGTTTGTTCTATCATTGCTTTCTCTTCTTCAACTTCAATGAAAGTTAAGTACTTCTGGTTTATTATATTATTATAAGCAAGACAAAATCATGTTAATAGAACTGTAAGAGCATCTGCAGAGGAGAATGTTGATTCACCTAGCAACCTTTGTGTATCACTAATTCTTTTGTTTTGTTTGCAATCCTCAGTATATTTATTCATTATAATTATAGAACAACTTTAAACTCTCACCCAAAAAATTGGAAGATAGGGAGAAAGCAATTCGAGTTATTATCTGTTTTAGGAGAAAACCAAAAAACAACAACACAACAACAATAACAGAACCATCGTAGTGTGTACGCAGACCTTACGCCTACCTTCAAGAAGCCAGCGCGGCTGTTTCCGGTAGACCCTCAGCTAAAACCAAAAAACAACAACAATATCAAATGGAATATCTTTTCTAGTCTTAAACATGAAAATAAATTGAAACTATTACAATCAATGGTCCAACGTTTGCAAGGGGTTGTGAAGAAGCTCACTTATGTGCATTATGACAGAAGTGCAAAATGGCTTGTAAGAACTACAGGCTTAGAAGTTTCAGAGAACCTAAAGAATCAATAAGGAAAGAAACAGAATGGAGGCAATTGTTCATTAATTATGGAAGGAACTTTGCGAGTTTTCTCTTATATACAAGCAAAAGTTAAAAGGCAAGGATCCAGGATCGAATGGATTGAGAGTAACACGAAACATCAATTTCAACTTTTTAGAAGAAATACTGGCTTCTGTATACCTCTTAAACTGTTCTCTAAATTTGCAGGCAGTAGTATGAAAAAATTCAGTTGCTTATCATAGAAATTCTTCTTAACCATGCATCCACGGAAAAGAGAGCTTCTATACTGAATCAACTCCATCAACCTGTTGCCGCGCAAGATACCTTTCCCTTCTTTCTTTCTGAAATAGTAAAAACACATAGTATATTAGTACAGAAGTCATGTTGATTATGATACTTTTACACGATCCGAAGCACGAAGCCGGATATTTTTCCAGACAATTCTTTGTACCCCAGATCAGTAAAGAAGAAAAACAGATTTAGTTCCTTGTTTTATGTTCCACTATAGTGCTTCTTGCCTTGTATTACAACGACAACAACTATTACTTAAGCCTCTTTACTTTGTAATTATTACTTGAGGCTCCAGTTATGTACTGGCACAATATTTATGAGCTAACTCGAGGGAAAAAAAAAGGTTGTCTGAGCTATCTCACCATTTCCTTAGTGGTTTGGGACGAGGCCCGTTATACAATTTTATGAGCAATCAAAGAGCATCAGAAAGAAGATTCTAAATGCAGTAGATTTTTTTTTTAAAAAGGAAATGCAGTTGATTTGTAATGTAAAAACCGAGCATTCAACATAGGATCGTACTAGCGTCAAGAAAACTTACCCATTCGTCTATAACAAGACCTTCTCCAACAATCTTTGGACCTGTATCTTCTGGAGGCCTTTTGCGTGCCTCGACCTCAGCCTCAGCTTCAGCTAACTGGCGGTTAAGTTTCTCGAGTGCCTAAGGAAAATGAGCCACGAAATCCTTAGAGCCATTTCC